TCTTAAAGTACTTAGATGGTTTAATAGGACCTGGAGAAAACTGATATTCTATGCCCATTTCTTTTTCTCTCCTAAAGAAAGTACAAATATCAGATTCTAAAATGTGCTGCATTTCTTCTAGAGATTTTGGAGGGATCTTAAACTCTACAGGCTTACCAAAGTCTACATATATAAGTTCATGACTTTGCCTTCTGAACTGTGGGAGTCTGAGGTAGGAGGTCTCTGACACCTGGAACTTAAGTAGTTTTTGTTTCTATGGTATGTGTTCTAGAGTTCTTTGGAACTCTGAGTCAGGAAAGTAGTTTCATGTTGTGATACCAAGAATATATTGCAATGTATACAACTCCTGATTCTCTTAGAGGGAAGTAATAGATATTTTTATTCCTCAGTTATAAAACATCCCAGCTGTTTGGTCATTGAATGCGATTGTGTTTTCAAAACCCATTATTTCTCAACAGAATATATCTTGGTTGTTACTTCTGAATAATGACTGAGCTGGTGGTTTTGAGGAGCTATAAACCACATTCTCTCTACCTGCCCAAGAACTAAGAACTTGCCAAACTAAGATATATAGATGTGCGTGTGTGTGTGTGTGTGTGTGCATGTGTATTTTACGTGTGATATTTGGTTGAAAGATAGGGGTAGTAGAGGAAAGAGTGGAAATTTTAAAGACTTTCAAGCTCTAGTGGCAAAGGCAGGTGACTCAGAATTCTGTATTTCATTGACCTAGTGGGATAAATAGTTTTTAAGAGAATTCTTTGTGTTTCTGATCAATCAGTTTCATTTCTACTCCCTGTCCACTGCCATTCTCTTCACCATCTCACACTTATCTCTTTGATTCAGTTTCCCTCTTTAGGTATAACTAGAAAAGTGATGTTCCTATTGCTTTGGTTACAATCGTGGCTAATGGAATGCTTTTGGTAAATTCTGTTTCCCTGCATCTTCTTTTACGTTGTATCCCAAGGTCTGTTTGCATCTGCTTCTTCTTGTTTGACAAGCCAAAGTGCCTTCTCCCAGTATCTTGTCACATGGTATCTGTTAGGCTCCAGAACCAATGTGCTTTTCTTTTAAAAATATTACAGATGCACTTGGGGGAATGTAAAGAAGGGCCTGAGGGTTTCTGAAAGGAGCACTGACATAAACAAACACTGTCAAATGAAACTGCACAGGAGCATTTGCATCTGAATTTGAACTCCCAAACTTTACTGGTTTTCTTTTGCTCATCTTGGACGACTCTTCCATGGATTCTCTCTCTTCTTGAATTTTTCCTGTGGCGTGATGTTACCTGTAGTGTGTGACATCCTGATATCCTGCCCTGGATTCTAATGGGCACCCTTGACTTCCCACCCAGCCTGCTCAGTGCCTTTGTCTTTGTCTCACTGAGTCTGGAATTTGTAATACAGGACAGCTCAGCCCTGTCCAGCCTACACTGGGCAATTCTTGGTTCCCGGTCTTCGGTTTACCTTTGATTCTGCCATTCACAAGTGGTATGGGGAAGCTGTGTGCTGGATCTCTTTTCTATTTTTTTGGAAGCATCTCTTTCAGTATTAATCTCTGTTCTGATTTCATAACCAAACTGACACTTCCATGCATACTCTGTCTCATATCCATATCATTCATTGACTCATGATTCTATATTTTATTGATCTGTTGGCATGAAATTATTTTCAGCTAATTATTTGTGTTATATTGGTCTTTATAATCATGATAGCCTATTAGCCAGCAAATATTCATTATAATCATGTGTGTGTGTTTTATCAATTATAATTTTTATTTTCAAGTATCATTAATTCATTTTTACTTCTGACTTTGTGAAGTGCTTGTCTTCTGACTTTGTCCATGGTCCAAGATGTTGCATCCAAGAGAAGAAAATCTCAGTTCTCTCCAGAATCCCAGTATCTCTATGCCACTCAGTTTCTGGCAAACCATCTCTGGGAGGTAGATTGAGGGAAGTTCCTCATCTTATCTGAGTGTTGCCCATTGAGGGCTGGGCATAATAGATATAGTCTTTAAGATTTAAGATGGCCACCTATTTGGGACTGGAGAGGATGCTAGATGTTGTGTCTTAGAGAGGTGCCAAAGCATGTGCTAGGACCACAAGCCCACTCCAAATGATGATAGTGTAAGGAAGAGGAGTCAGGGTAAAGCCTTGGAACACTCTTGTCTGCCAAAGTATTGCTTGGGAACATCCTTGCTCATTCCGCTTGCACAGGCCACCTGCTACACACCCTGATAGCACTAGATACCCCTCAACCATTGCTGTCACCTCACAGTGAGTAATATGTATCATTAGTAGAATTGGTTGTGTAATGTCTGGCTTATTCTCCAGACAGAAAGCTCTAGGAGAGCAGATACCAGGTCTTTTCCTCATCACTGTATCCCCAGAGCCAAGCACAGTAATTAGAAACATATTAGGAACACAGTGCATATCTACGGAATGACTGAATAATTGAAGGGAAGAAGGAAAGAAGGAGAATGTTTCCTTCTTGGAGTACATGCATCTCATTCCCCACTTTTCTATCTAATGAGGGATTTCTGCCAAATGTTCTTGATTGTCTCTTACTAGGCCTTATTCCTCCCTGATGAAGTCAAGTGAATTTCTGTGTTAAGAGGAGACAGTGATTGGCACATGTTCCTTGATCAGGTAGAGATAATGCATCAGAAGTCTTAAGCAAATAGAATCCACTCTCCTCAAGCAGTGCGTGAATGTGATCCTGAGCAGAAATGTTTGCTTTGTAGACTCAATATTTCCCTCCAGCATACTAGTCCAAGATCTAACATGGGCACAGGGAGTATTAGGAAGTTCCTTGTTATCACATTTCTAAGCCATACCATCCAAAATTACTTTTATCAGGAGTTAAGATGACATTTTGATTCTCATCTACCTGGCTCCTTTTTATCTCTCTCTTAATTGGTTTTGAACATGGGCAAGAAACAGGGGTCTCATTTCTTTGGCTACCTAAAACCCCAGTAGTTCTTATGCATAGAGAGAATCCAGGAAAAATCAACATAGATACATCATGGGTTGAAAAGTTTTGGCTCCAAAGGGGAAAATGAGATTCAAGACTGGACACAGAATAAAGCTTTGAGAACAAAGGATTTTCCTTGGATTCTGAGAGCCAGTGAGCCTCCTGAAATTGTGTGCAAAATGTTCTGTGTATAGGATCCAGAGGTTTCATCAGATTATCAAAAAAGTTGCTGAACCTCTATTTTAAGGGGGCTTAGACAGACCTTGAGTTTGTCTCCTGACAACCAGAAATTTGGCCTCATCTTCCCATCCTCCCCCTTGCCTGAAGTGTCTTGCAGATCCCCTCATCATACCCTTCAGAGCTCAGTTTGAGCCCCAGCCTGTGCTGCCTTCCCCTCCCCTCCCAGCCAGCAGGAATCCCGCCATCCTGTGGCTCTGGCCTCCTTATGGACTGTCTTCCTCTCCCGTTTTCTCAACTGAAGCATGAGCTCCTGAGAACAGGGTCAGGTTGTTCAATAGTTGCTCTGTGTCACCCAAGCTGCTTGGCGTATCATGTCATTTCTGAATTCCACTCTCTTGCCTGCCCTAATATGAGTCCTGGGAGGGATTCATTAGACGTATCTTTCAGAGGAAGGGAGACTCTCAGAGTAAGTGTCTCCCCTCCAGGCAAAAAGCCAGGAAACAGCAGAGCCAGGATTCACACTTGGGTCTCCTGGTCCTAGTTCAGGGCTGCTCCTTCTCCCGATGCAGCTGCTCTTGGCAGGAATTGCCCCTAACTTCCTACCCTAGAGCTCTTCTCCCTAGTAGATATGTCTTTGTTGGAGAACACTCCTGCATGACCCTGCTGGATCACGGAGGTAAGAGAGGGCTGTGTGGACAAGTAGCACTTGAATTTCCTGCATGAGACACTGAAGAGAATTTGGAGTTGAGTGTTTCCCTCTCCAAAAACAAGCAAACAAACAAACAAATGGATGACTACATTTTGCAAAAGATCAGGAGGAATTACACATAAACATGACCAGTGAAACATTCCCTAAGGAGGGCTGGACAGAAAGATTTTGAACAGGAAGGTTTCATTTTTCTGTCTGTGATCTCCTACTCTTGGTTCAGCTGGTTAAGAAAAATCACTATAGGGCACCTGGGTGGCTCAGTTGGTTAAGCGACTGCCTTCGGCTCAGGTCATGATCCTGGAGTCCCGGGTCGAGTCCCGCATCGGGCTCCCTGCTCGGCGGAGTCTGCTTCTCCCTCTGACCCTCCCCCCTCTCATGTGCTCTCTCTCTCATTCTCTCTCTCTCAAATAAATAAATAAAATCTTAAAAAAAAAAAAAGAAAAATCACTATACACAGTTGTCTCAAGGGTCAGGGAAAGGTGGTGATTTGTATTTTGAGTCGGTGGAGCAGAGGGAAGAGACTCACCGGAGTGGAGGAGAGCAGGGGATGATATACCAGAAGGCAGTGGGGAGAAGGTGCACAGAGACAAGGAAACTGGAATAGAAGGGGCATGAGAAGGTTAGCCCCGGAAATTCGCCAGTGTCTTGGGGAAAGCTGAACCACCCCCAGGTGAGGCCCAGAGATTAAATCCAATTTTATTTAGATCTTCCAAGTCAAGGTGACTTCGACAGACATTTGGATGCCAATAGATTGACAGTAGCCCTCTCTACATTTTCAGAATGAGGAGCAGTAGGTGGATGATAAAGGGAGCATGATGTTTTATGAAAAAAGAAAAAAAAAAAGGAATCGTTCCGTTTCCCAAAGTCCTACATTTTGGAGGAGGGAAGGTGTTAGCTGAAAACTTTCCTGATGATGAAAGTTGAATCATCTGCTGAAGAGCAAACTTGATGGCATTTAAAATGCATGGATTTTATCTCCAGAGCAGACATATGGATGCTCTGATGCTTCTTAGCAAACTCCAGGCTTCAGTCTCCTGCGAAGAGCTGTTCCTGGGTCTAAGAGATAGGTGACAATGCACATGTTATAATCTCTAAAACAAAAGCCTATTATGTTCTAATTTGGCTGTTCATCGGCTTAACAGGAATGGAAAGGGGGCAGGAAGTGAGGAGGTGACAGTTTCTGGCTGCTGATGACCCGCAGAGCCCACGGAGTGACCGCAGATAACGCCCCATCTTTCTCAGCCACCCAGACTCACTGAACTTCGATCCTGCAGCTCCTGACAAGGGCCAAGGGAAGCAGAGAATGGCAGCTGCATCAGTTGTGGCGGGAGTGATTCTTGGTGCCTCTCTGTCCCGTTGTTCCCTGAAGCCGAAGCTGTGGGTCTGGGCAATCTGCACAGCGAGGCGTCTAGAACCTCTGAGGGATGCTGCAGTCTAGAACGATCCCTGGCCTAAGTCAAGAATGGAAACATGGCTCTTCCCTCAGGGGCTGATGATGTCACCGGAGCAGTGAGTTATATTCCCTTCAAAAGGACCCATGCTGCAGCTTCCTCCACTGCTGTCTTTACTCCCTGGACAACCAGCTCCCACTGCTCCTTAGAGGCCGGGTGCCCAGTGTGCGGGCTTTCATACACCACCTCCCCGAATCCTCATCAAAACCCGAGGGCAAGGGCGCTGTCATCCTAACTACGCAGGAGAATACTGAGACTCGGAAACTTAAGTGACTCATTTCCCATCTGAGTGGATTACTCAGGAAAAGAAAAGGAAATTAGCATGAGATTTGGGAGCAAGTATTGAATAACGACTATCAGCAAAGGGCTTTTTGCTTAGACAAATCTGAGTTGGAAGCCCAGCTCTTCAACTTCCGGGCTGTGTGAGCTTGGGCAAGTCCCTCAGCTGCTCTGAGGCTCACTTTCTCCACCTGCAATGTGAAGATAATCCTACTACCTATTCCAGGCCTCCTGAGTGGCAGGTGATCCAGAATTTTATCTAATCATCTCCTTGCTTTTATTAAATGACGGTTATTTTTTCTCTGCTCACCAATCAGGTAAGCCCGTCATATGACTCCCTACAGGGTACGATGGTCTTTAAGGTAATTCTTTTTAAAGCGTCTCTCAAGATTTCAGCTCTGGAAGGGCATTCTTTTTACAGGTTTGGGAGGTGGTGATAAATGACTAAGGGCCGGACCTCAGTCCCACTAAGTTCCATTTTAATCTCTGTGTTTACCATCAGTGTTGTTACTCCTAGCACAACTGAGACTACCTGGAGTTTGCAAAAGGAACATGAGTAACCACTGTATCAATGATCTATGGCTGTGTAACCAAACACCTCAAACTTCAAACAAAAATTATTTATTATTGCTTAGGATTTTGTGGTTCTTCTGCTGGTCTCTCCTGGGTTCTCTCCTATGGTTGAAGAATGGAATGGAATGGCTGGATAGTCCAAGGTGACCTGGCACAGACGTCTGGGAGTTGGTGCTGCTTCTGAGCCTGGGCACCTCGATTTTCCTCTACACGGCTGTTCATCCTCGGGTAGACTTATCAGCTTCCTCACAGCATGGCTGCCTCAGGGCAGAGCTCCAAGAGGACAAGTGCCTGTGTGTAAGCATCTATCAAGCTTCTGCCTGAGTCATGATTGTTCGTGGCCCACTGGCCAAAACGATTCACATGGCCAAGCTCAGTGTCACGTGGGAGGTGACGTAGACTTTATCCCTTGATGGGTAAAGTGGCAAAGGATTTTGGCCATTTTTGAATCCATCACAATTATAAGCATAAAATATAAAAAATAAATAAATAAAGGGAAGGCATCTGGAAGATATAATAAGAATAAAAAGAATCCAACCTGCAGTGTAAGGATTTCTTGTCTTCCTTGCCTCTGAGAGCTTTCAAGCCCTGCCCTATCCCATATCCTTTCTGAGTGAAGCACCACCCACTAGCCCTTGGGCGAGCAAACTTGGTAGGAACCTTGCCTGTCTCCTTCCTTTGCATCCCCTGGCAGGTTGCTAAAGCACCATCTGACATATTCTCCTTTGGGAACTGCTGTACTCCTTTATTTCTTAAACTTTGTTCGGGGGACAACTTTACTTCTATAGTCTCCTCACCCCCTGCCCCAAGACCCCTCCAGCCCAGTAACCGGGATCTGCTTCCAGGACTGAGGGATGTGATGGATCAACTGATCTATTATTACTACAATAATTTTTGCTAATTGAAACTGCAATGTAATTATTACTTTTTGTTAATCCTATTAACATTTCGGAGACTACCTTTTAGCCTTATTTTAATTAATAGAGAAATATAAGTATTTCTTATGGAAATGGCTTATTATTATACTTACTGTTGCCTCACATGCCTTTTGAATTAAAATTCTAAACTAAGCGTCTTTCCAAATCTCTTTTTGTATCGGTGTTTACATAAATATTAATCTAATCAACACACAGTATATAAACAAATATTTTGAATTTTTAAGATCTGACTAATATTACATTTGTGTGGTGGTGCTAAAAAATATTTAATCAATCTCCTGATGATGAACATTTAGGTTGTTGTCATTTCTTTTACTAGAATAAACCATGTTGCAATGAATACCCTTTACATACAACTTAATAAACTTATTATGATTGCTTTTTTAGTATATATTTCTGGAAATGGGATCACTGGGCCAAAGGATACATAGAATTTATACAACCGACTTTGTCAGTTTGCTTATTAAGTAATTTTACGAGTTCATATTCCCAAGGATTATGCGCAAGGACAAGAACACCCCTGTCCTCCCAGCTTTCTTGTGATGATGTTTAAAAGCCAAGTTTTGTTTTGTTTTGTTTTTCCAAGAGAACAAGCAACGAGCTAAAAGTTGAGTATTTCAGCCCGGGGAAAGAGGAAAATCCTAAACTAAACAACTTGATTTTCTGACAGCCTGAGAGCAGCCCAGCTGAGAACATCTCAGCCCAGGGCTCCCTGGAGACTGAGAGGAGAGAGAAGTCAGAAAAGCAATTGAAGGAAAAGCCCAGTCCCCTGCGCTCAGTGAAACAGCAGTCTCCTCGCTGCTGATCAGGCCTCACGCAGGGGCCCCCAGGACCGGGTCAGGGCACATCCAAGGGGGCCTCCAAGGCCGGACTGTTGACACCTACCCCCCGCAGAAGGACCCTCCCCCACTTCAGAGGCTGTGATATTTCTCAAACCTAATTCAAATCCCTCACTGTCCTGTGATGACCATAAGGTACCAAAATAGCCCTGTCTCCTATGGGACAGGTATCATTTCCACTCAGCCCTGATCACTGCTTAAGTTTTGGGACCGCTATGACTTGGCAAGGAAAAAGTCCTCATTTATCCTTTGACAAGCTGAACAGAAGTATTCCAGGTACCCACCATGGACACAACCTTTCCTGCGACTCAAAACCCCAAACTCCATCTCCCTTACTCATTGCTTTCCCCCCAAAACCTTCTCTCGTTACACTTAGAACTTCCTTCTACTTACATGTAGGACTCTGCAACAGAAAATAGTTAAAAGAATTTTGACATTTGGAGGCTCGTCTCAAATAGTATTAGAAAAGGGATTTTTATCTCTTTGTTATGCTCTAAGCGTCCTGATTAATGTCTGAAGTAACTCTGGGGATTTTTTTGTGAAGGTCTTCACAGGGCTTTGCCTGGGGTCTTAACGCAAGGGGAATGCATGCACTGGGGCTGGGGCTGGATATTAGAGAGCTTCAACTATTTTGCTTCCATTTTGCTTATAAAATATTATATGTATATATTTTCTCTTCTAGGCCAGGGGTAACTGCTGAGGAAGAAATGCACCGGCCAAGTCTTACCCTGTGGCAACCTTTTGGTAAGGTGAGGGCCTTCCAGAATTCTGAATATCAAAGTAAATCTTTGTTATAATAATATCTTACTTCTTCATACTTGAATGCAAAAATTTGATGGCTTTTCATTTTTATTATTTATTCATGTCAGAGCAAAAGGTGCCCTTAGGAATCAATCTTTTAATTCAAATCCCTCATTTGGAAAAACTGCAGCCCAGAGAGAGGACACAAGGTGCCTAAGCGCATATATATCTTGTTACCAACCAAGCTCTGGACCAAAGTGTAATCCTTATGATGTGTGGTGAGAGGGATTTCCTTTGCCTCTGTTTTAGAGCTTTTCAGGGGATCCATTTTGAACCTATTTCTAAGTGGTCTTCAGGCACCCGGCACAGTGGTGGGCACTTTACAGTTTATCACACCAATTATCCTCATAATTCTATCAGTACCATTATCCTCATTTTACAAGGAAGGTTTTGGAGAGGTTTTACAAGTTGCCTAATACAATGTATTCATTTTTTATGCCTTCCATAACAAATTATCACAAATTTAGTGTTGTGACACAAATTTGTCCTCTTACTGTTTAATAGCTCATAAGAATGAAATGGGGTCTCATTAGGACAAAACAGGATGCTCAGAGCATTGTTTTCCTTCATGGAGGCTCTGTGTGAGAATCTGTTTTCTTGCTTTCTCTGGTTGCTAGAGGCTTCATGGCTCATGGGCACCTTCCTTGATCTTCACAGCCAGCAACAATGGGCCTGATCCTTACATTATATCTCTCTGATCCTTTGTCTTCCATCTTGTCTCTCTCTAACTACAGCCAGGAAAGGTACTCTGCTTTTAAGGACTTCTGTGATTATTAGCTCAGGCTCACTCAGATAATCTAGGACAATCTCCCCATCCTCAGGGTTTGTAAACCAGTTGCAAATCCCTTTTTTCCATATAGGGTAACATATTCACATGTTAGAGCATGAGCATACTGGGGAAAGTCATTATTCTGCCTACCCCAGTCTACCCTCTGGTCCTCAAAGACATCTGTCCTACATGCAAAATACATTCTTCCTATGTCAAGTTCTCCAAAGTCTCAACCATTATGTGAGAGAAGCTAGTATGTGGCAGGGTAGGCCTCTGGTTCCAAAGCCCACTTGATGGCTGGCCAACAGCACATGCTGCCATTTTGCTAAAACATGGAGATGCTGTTCTTTTACTGATTTGCATGAGCTCCCAAATCACAGAGAGTTAAACTGTCAGCTCTGTGAAGGCAGGAGACTGTCTAGTCTGTTAGTCATTCCATCCCAGCACCTACCACAAAGCAAGCACTCAAATTTTGCAAAGCAAATGAATGTGGAAGAAAGCAAGTATTTAAGTAAATCAATGGCATAAGCAGTTGTATGGAGACATAGAGCCATTACTTATTTTTCCTGTTGCAAAAAACCTTGAATTCTCAGTGTTTTTCTGAGCCATTTGAAAACAGATTTCAAACCTTAGCAGAGCCAAAGTTGCTCTTCCAGGTAAACTTATCCAGCTGCCTATGCTCCATCTGGGTTTTATTTTTTTTTTAAAGATTTTATTTATTTATTTGACAGAGAGAGACACAGCGAGAGAGGGAACACAAGCAGGGGGAGTGGGAGAGGGAGAAGCAGACTCCCTGCCGAGCAGGGAGCCCGATGCGGGGCTCGATCCCAGGATCCTGGGATCATGACCAGAGCCGAAGGCAGACGCTTAACGACTGAGCCACTCAGGCGCCCCTCCATCTGGGTTTTAATTACTAGTAAATGTCTTTTCAGGCACTGTGATTCTACCAAAATTGGATCCCAGCCCATGGATTCTGTTTTAGGTTTAAATATAGCCACTGAACTTATAGATTGCCAAATATTTGTTATTCTCAGTATACTTGGGTGTATTCTGGGTAAGCATCCTGATTATTTTTGTAGATAGAATACTCTGCTGTCATTTTTCCTAACATCCCCCTCCCGTGATGATTTCTCCAAAGGAACACAGGAGAAAACAGTATCATTTTCGCAAAAAAGTATTTAAAAAAATAATTTAGCTTAGGGGTGCCTGGGTGGCTCAGTCAGTTAAGCATCCAACTCTTGATTTCTGTTCAGGTCATGATCTCAGGGTCATGAGATTGAGCCCCACATCAGTCTCCACACTAGATGTGGAACCTGTTTAAGATTCTCTCTCTCCCTCTGCCCTCCCCACCCCCCGCACCATGTTCCTGCTTTCTACCTCTCTGAAAAAAAAAAAAAAAAAAATTAGCTTAGATTAGTACTAGCCAGGACTGGGAGTGGGAACAGGGATTAACTGTGAATGAGCACAAAGGATTTTACTGTAGTGATAGAAGTGTTCTAAAACTGGGTTTTGATGATAGTTGCACAACTGAGTAATTTCTCTAAAGATTTTTAAATTGCGCACTTAAAATACGTGAATTTTCTGGTACATAAATTATACCCCAATAAAATTGTTAACAAAGTAATTTGCCTATCATCCACTCAAAAGCACTGTCCATGTTTTGTGTTAAATGTGATTATTTTTTACCAAAGCAGTCTCTAAATACAGTTTCCATAATAATAAAACCTAAACTTCTTCAACTGTATCTTGGTCTATTAATAAGCAGAGCTGAGCATGGTCACACTTAGCTGCCCCAGAAGTAAACATGTCATGCTTCTTTGCCTTTTTCTTCCCAAACAATTTAAGAGCAAATAGACATTCATTCTTAATCTTTGCAAAATTTTGATATTTGGTTTATCTTAAATTTATCAGAGTAATTGTTTTGATATGATTCAGAACCATGCATTTTTTTATGTCCTGTGATTCATTTCAAAGGAGTAATTCAACCCCCAGTCCATCAGTGTGCTTTTATAAAGACAATTCAGTTTCCCATGACAAATAAAACCAATATGCTGCTATATACACAAGTAGTCAGATAAACAAAAAGAGAAAACCTCATACTTACCAGCTTTTCAGCGTTTGTGGACTTGAACGTCAGCCACTTAAATGCATTTATGGGCAAATATACACAGTATCAAATATAGAAACGTGTACACTGTTGCAAAAAAATATTCTTTAAGGGATTACTAGGTTTAGGGGCACCTGGGTGGCTTAGTCAGTTGAGTGGTTGAGCAACAGACTCTTGATTTCGGCTCAGGTCATGATCTCAGGGTCTTGCGATGGAGCCCTGCCTCAGGCCCTGCACTGAGCATGGAGCCTGCTTAAGATTCTCCTCCTCCCTCTCTCTTTGCATCTACCCACCCCCGCATCCTGCTCACTCACATGCTCTCTCTTCATTCTGAAATTGTATAAATAACTCAGGAGCTTGATGGACAATTCTGTGTTCCTTAGACAGGGACTTGGACTGGCCCTCTCCTCATTAGAGAGAACATCATGGTACAAGTTTAGAGTCTCCAGGCTTGGTTCCTATGTGGACCTTCGGCTTCATTTCTTGCTCTCTAGTCCAGTGTGTCTTTCCCATGAGGATCATTGACAAACCTGGTGGAGCTTGTAGAAGTGCAAATTCCAAACCTATGGAAGCAGAATCTCCAAGGTAGGATTCCAGGACTCAGCATCTTTAACAAGAGCAACAGGTCATTATTATAATGCACGTTAATATCTAAAATATTTGATCTGAGGATCTTGCCAATATTTAAAGATTCAGTATGGACTCTTCAGATTTATTAGCATTACAAGAAAAAGTGTTTCAAAGCAGCGTTTATCAAGCTTTAATGTGCACATGGATCACCTGGGGATCTTGTTAAGATGCCGACTCTGATTTCAGAGGTCTGGAGAGGAGCCTGCGTTTCTGCATTCTAACAAGACGCAGGGATGCTGCTGTTGCTGGTCCATGGGCCAGACTTTGATTAACGGGCCTTCAAAGCATATTCAGGCCATGCTAGAGGATCAGAATGCCTCCCAGAGGATGGAGCGCAGCGGCTGCCCCAGAGACCATTCTGTGTGAATGCCCTTCCAATTGGAATGAGAGCAAGTGTGCTTCTGGGAATCTGGGCTAGGTGTAGGGGTCCGATGCCTCTCTCAGGCTGCAGAGAATGGAGCCAAGGAAGGGACGAAAGTAACTGTGGGGAGGTCAGGAGAGGCATGACCTGGGAATGGAGCCATTTAGGAGGTCTACCTGATCACAAATGTAAGGGCCAGAGAAACAAGGCACGTAGACCCTGGAAACAGAGACTGAAGATGGAGAACAAAGTCAGCATGTCTGGAAAAAAGGACAGGAGGCAGACCTAGGGTTCCCTGAATGCTGAGAGGTATCTGCAGGGGACATTTACAGAATGTCTGCCACTTCACCATAGATGGGGAGGAAGCCACTATGAACTCAGCATCCTCTGTTCAATCCTGGATGCATAATGTTCATACTTTTATGGGGCCATAAATTATTTTTTAAATGATCTATCCTAATTATTTGAAGGAGTAGTTCCCAAACTAAAATATGCCCAAGAATCACTCAGGGAACCTGGCCCTTTCCTGGTTGAAATTCAGAGCATTATTTGTCCTCCAGGAAAACTGTAAGGTAGTATTATGTATCCAGAATAATACAGAGTAGCAATGAAATGAAATAAAATGAAATAAATAGTATTGATTGTATCATTACTCTGCAGTGTGATATTGCTCAGTTTTCCTCTGAAACCTTAGCTTTTTCTGCAAGAAGTCCCGCCCCCCATGCAACAATAACTACTGGTGTGTGTGTGTGTGAGAGAGAGAGAGAGAGAGAGAGAGAGAGATTGATTTTATAATTCTATAGTTAGCAAGTTCTTTTTTTATTATTTTATTTATTTATTTATTTTGAGAGAGAGCCAGAAAGAGAGCACAAGTGGGGGAGCAGAGGGGCAAAGGGAGAAGGAGAGAGAGAGAGAAGCGTAAGCAGGCTCCATGCCCAGCATAGAGTCCAACGTGTGGGGTTCGATCTCATGACCCTGAGACCATGACCTGAGCTGAAATCAAGAGTCAGATGCTCAACTGACTGAGCAACCCAGGCGCCCCAGCCTAAAAAAATATTTTTTTATACCAATTGTCTCATTC